GCTTTTGATTCACAATATCACGCGTTGTAATGCCCTGACCCCTTCCTTCATGTTTTACAAGCTGTTCATTAAATCTCTTAGCCCTGCTGCTCAATTTATGAGGCTATAGCAAGTTTGTACATTTTTTCAGTAAATTAAGCAATTGACATTTAAGGGCCCATCAATGGGCTACAAGACAGACCAAGATGGACATTTGTGTGTGTGTGTACATGTTTTTCTATCCTGGTGGGGACTTAAACCTGAATACACACCAACTCATGGGGACTTGTGTCACCATGGGGACCTAAATTGAGGTCCCCATAGAAACAAAAGCTTATAAATCATACAGAATGAGTTTTTTTGAGATTGTAAAAATGCAGAAAGTTTTCTGTTAGGGGTAGGTTTAGGTGTGAGGTTGTTGTAGGGCGATAGAAAATACAGTTTGTACAGTATAAAAACCATTATGCCCGTGGAGAGTCCCTACAAGGATAGTGCACCAGACGTGTGTGTGTGTGTGTGTGTGTGTGTGTGTGGAGGGTCTTGCCTGGTTTTTCTGTATGAGACACTTTAGTCAGCTGCTGGATGCTTGTCGTTGGCAGTGAAATTGCCGTCACCATGGGAGCGATGGTATTGCATACAAGACCATACAATAAAAAAAATCTTGTTTTATACAACCAGCATTTTGCCTTCGCGTTACCTCTTTACAAAATATAAAATTACAAAAATCTTAAAAATGTGACTTCGTTCAGTTCAGACATACTCCAGATTTTACACATGACTGTAAATGTAAATATTTGAAGGGACTCTGTCACTTCACAGCATTACAAGCTTGTCATCTCACCTGCAGCCACTCGGAACGGTTATTAATGGCTGCGGTCCAGGCGTTGGTCTTGCCCTGCTTGTCCAGACGAGCGTAATGCGGGTGCCAGGTGAACGCCTCGATCCCCCAGGTGCGGAAAGAGCTGGAAGCTGTCATCTGCCTGTCATCGATCAGCCGTGACTTGATACCTAGCGGCTCGGAGCAACCTGTCGTGTTCAAATACACTGTGAAGTAAGACAACAGAAAGAGGGAGGGGACGGGGACAGGAAGTGGCAGACAGATGGATGGGAAGCGTGTCAGCACAAACCACATCAGCGCTGAGCAAGTTTCATGCAGGTGAGCGGCAAGATGCTGTGTGTGATGGGGTGTATGTGAAGCGCACTCAGGCAAGAGCCGGCGGTGTGAGAGGCGTGCTGTGATGAACAGCCTGAGAGACACAGATGGAACAGTGAAGTGGGCAATACTGTAAATGAAACATTAACATCTGCACCATTTCACTGATTAGAAATTAGACTTTCATGTAGGGATGCATGATATAACATACCATATCGGCCAATATTAGAGTTTTTTTTTTAATTATCAGTATCATTGATATTCAATATTTAATTGTTCTTACTAATTTCCTGTGTTTTTACATTTAGATGACCTTTTCCATGATGTAAAGATCACTTAAGTTAATCTTTAAAAACACTAGTAATTTAATAACACTGTTAAATGTTTGATCTCAAAATGAATATCTATTTTTCATATTGTACATTATAATATTGTGATGCCTAAATTCACTTGTAGTATTTAATGTTAGATTTTTTTAAATGTATTTAGTCATAATAGAATACAGTAGTTGAGTATATTATTATAATATCATTATAATAGTATATATATTTTACATAATATAATAGTATATTTTAATATTAGCCATTCAAAATTGGCCAATTACATAATTTATAACTTTATTTTATAATACAGTTTATTTTTTTATTAATTTATTTGTATAAATTAATTTATATTTATTATAAATAAATATAATTTTAAAATAAATTGTATAATTATTCACCAATTTATAATGTTAATTTATTCAATTCAATTCAAGTTTATCTGTATAGCGCTTTTAACTATACAAATCGTTGCAAAGCAACTTTACAGAAAATTAAGTTTCTACAATATTTAGTAGTAGCTTATCAGTGGTGACTGTCAGTTTATGTACATATGGCAGAAATGTACGGAAAAAATCAATTAAAGTTGTAATCAAACAGACGATGAACACTATTAACATCAATTATTATATGATGCAGTCAAGCTTATAAAAAATATGGATTTAATCAATGTAAATAATTAATTAATTGGCCAAAACATGAAAATAATTATTGGTTTATCGGCCAAAATATTCGAATGTATCAGTGCATCCCTACTTTTATAAAGTGAAGTAAAGTGACGTGAAGCAAAGTATGGTGTCCCATATTCGGAATTTGTGCTCTGCATTTAGCCCATCCAAGTGCACACACAGTAGTGAGCACGCACGCACGCACGCACGCACGCGCGCACACGCGCACACGCGCACACGCACACACGCACACATGCACACGGAGCGGTGGGCAGCCATTTTTGCTTTCTGTGCCCAGGGAGCAGTTCGGGGTTCGGTGCCTTGCACCTCAGTCATGGGTATTGAAGGTAGAAGAGAGTGCTGCTCATTCATATGAGAATAATATAATATAATATAATATAATATAATATATTTTTTTTTTATTTTGAAATCAAGAAAAAGACTTGATCTTTCTTAAATGTTAGCAGAAAACAAGAACGAAATGTCCCAAGCACAAACCACACAAATTAACCAGTGTTATTCATCATCACTATATGCAGCTCAAAACTGTGTCAAATGTGCTAAATAAGTCAAATGTCTGAGAGGTTTCTGCTCAGAACGTTTACTGGCTAGAGTCCTGGTTTGGAAAGATGTGACTTTGTTCCTTCAGCCAAGCAGGCTGCGGTCCTTAACTTCACCACAAATGAAGACGAGCAGGAAATTGTGCAAACTGTGATGCTGCTTACTCCCTTTTTCTTCCATAAACCACAGCAGTATTACCATATTCTAGTGGAGCTGTTTTGTCTTTTGGCTTCCATATATCTATTCATAAGAATGTATAATTTAATAATATAATTGGTACTTTACCGTTGAGTTCACAGCCCACCAGCTCCATTCTCAGAGTACAGGCTTTGCGGCACACAACAGGAATGATTCGTATGTACTGAGCTATGATTGGAGGGTCGAACAAATTGGTCTTTGTCCCATCGTTGTCCATATTACCAACAAAGATCTGAAGAACAGAAATGTATACATTCATTAGTAATTAAAAAATTATAATATAATTACAGTTTATGAAACATATGACAAATGCTATTGAATAAACATATCTGGACACTTGTATGTTCCAGGGATTTGATTAAATATAAATAAATAAATAAATATATATATATATACATACAGTAATCAATTATGTAATTAACATAGTAATATATAATTATTATATTACTATTATGTATTAATTTGATTGTTTTACACTTGTCCCAGAACCATAATTTTAAATTAAAAAAATACAAATTACTATTACATTTAAAATTATGGTGATCCAAACAAACAGTGAAATAATCAGAAACTCTTTCAATATTTCAGAATGAAAATTATTTATATACATATTTTAGCAACTACAACAGGCCAAAAGTGCCCACAGTTAAACACCCAAAAATTCCAAACCAAAACAGCCACTAAAAATAATGCAGAACAGAAAAATGAGTGAATTATCACCATGTCGTTGCTCTGGCCCTCAGGTCTGTACATGGTGTAGGTTCGCCCATCCAAACTGGACGCTACTTTGAAGGCTTTGATGAACTCGGCTGTGCCCATGCGACTGGCACCCTGGGTAATGATGCCAGTGAAACGCATCTTCCTCTGCAGATTGATCTGTTATAAAATGAGTCATTAAATGAGTCATTTTTGGGTGAATACAGATAATATTTGAACTCCAAATATGTATTTAACCAATAAACTGAACAGACTTGTTTACCTCCATCCAGGGGTTCTTGTCATGTGTTGCAGAGGTCCAAGCATTAACGAATCCCTTGTTATTCAGTCGGGCCAATTCGGGCCCCCAACGCTGCAGTCCCAGAATGCCGTAGTACACAGAAGAGGCAGAAATCTGAGACTCTGCAATGCCTCCTCCTTCCATTCCCAGCAGAGAGATGCATCCTGGGAACCAAAGGCAGACATTAGCAGATATTAGTGCTCAGGAGACAAACAGGCTTACTGTGCGACAGACAGATGGATAAACAGTGTGATGACCACATTCACAGGGGAGAGAAATAGCCATTGTGTACTGAATGAAGTCACCAGTTAAAAAGCTAAATATGTGGAGGAAATAAAGTGAAAAACAGTTTGTGTACAGGAGCTGGACATGTGTGTACTGGCAGTGTCCTACTTACGCAGATGGCAGTGCTTTCCCACATATGGTGAGTGACATTTACAGGTGAAATCGCCATCAAGATCTCGACAGGTGCCTCCATTCTGACAGGGCTGGCCGGCACAGTCATTCACATCTGCAAGAATCATAAGGTTTATGTAAAACTCATCAAAACTAGTCTGGACAAGCAAAACAGTTGTCAAAAGTAAAGCAATTTTCTTTGTGACCTCTAGGTGGCAACATGCAACTTCTACAATAGTCTGAGGTACATAAAGATAAAATTCTTTGCTTCAAAAGATAAAATTATCTAATATATACACACACACACACAGTATATATGGTTTCCAAATGAAGTTTGTAACATGAAAAATCAATGAAAAAAGTCGCCTATATTTATTTATGTATTGGCCATAATAAACATATAAACACATTCTTATTGCTTGAACAGTTTTTAGTGTCTCCAATTTAAAGCACAAAAACTCAAAAATATCTCATATGAAAAAATTACGATATAGTGGTCCTGATAAAAATAAAAATGTATATCACTTAATTATATAACAAAATCAAACCAAGTGTCATTCCCAAAAAAAACAAAAAACATTTGTTTAGATTTTAAAATTAAACTAATAAACCATATTAATAAAATTTTGTAATGCACAGATGTAATAACATAGATGTAATGCAGTGTCATTACAATTTTTGGTGTGATCAAATACTTTGAGTCAATGCTCCTATTGTCAATATTACTGTATATAAAAGTCAAACAAAAACTCAAAAAAGGAACAAGCAAGAACGGAGAGGGAATTGAGGGCACATAAAGGGAACCCACATATGACAAAGCATAATCTCAGCACGACTGGCTCTTACAGTCGTTCATTAAGAGGATATAGGAGACTGAGGCAGACCTGCTGAAGTTTCTAATCCACTTACGAGCAACAGGGCCAGATCAGATCACCAACATGCTTCAAACACAAGTGTGTCAGAATTATTAAAAGGTCAACATGATGACGCAGAGCAAGGGTGTATAATGGTCCTCATGTACCTGAAGTGCGCTATATGTTGTGGGGAAAAAGAACTGGCATGGATTTCAGCTTTAAAATGGCACCAATCAGAAGAAAGGAAAATAGAACATTTCAGCAAAACTGGAAAGGAAATCAGTGGGATTATCTGGTGTGTGCATATGGAGCGTGACTGGGTGTGATCAGTCACAGTGGTCCAGTGCCAACACAGTGCTCAGACATACTGAAACACCTCTAAACCTCCAGAGGTCAGCGAGTAGCACTTCCCTGTTCCCTGTAAGTGTTAAGAGCATCACTACATGCTCGACTGACCTAAAATGACTAGCTGGGTGTATCTACATTCATTTCAGGCTGCATTTTTTGCCTAATCTGTGTAACCTCTAAATGAATGTTGTCATAAAAACTCACAAAAATTAGCTAAATGCATTTTTTGGTTTTACAACAGAACGTCAACTTCCCAATAGTATTGTCAACTACCCACATGTTGCAAACACTGTAAACTCTACAATGGGTTAAACCGCTAACAAGCTAATTAGGTTTTTAGCCAACTTTCCAAAAGTATTTAAATGTCAAAATGCTCCCACATGCTAACTGCTAATGCTAATATTATCAACTCTACAATGCTCTTAGCATAACACTAACAAGCTAATTAGCAACTTTTTACAAAGCCAACTTTCCAAAAACATTTGTCAACTACCTAAATGCTAACAAAATCATTATGAACTCTACAAGTATTTAACTGCTAACAAGCTAATTAGCACCTTTTCTAAGCAGTTTTAAATAGCCGAGTGGCTTTTAATATTTAACAATTAATTTAATATTTAGGGGTTTAGCACTGAACCAAAAACTAGCATTAAGATATGAGACACCCCATTTGACATTTGTAATGATGAAGTTACAATTCAGTACATTTAAAATATACAAACTTTAAATGTAATATCAAATAACACACTGCAGTAAATTTATAATCAATTACTTCACACGTACATTAGTATGTTAGTCAACACAACACCATGTCAACACAAATAAGTGTACGTCTTCGAAGCACATCAAAAGATTATTAAAACAATGACTTAAAATGTACTTTAATGTAAACTTTAAACATTACAAAGTCCACTTAGAACTTAAAAATTGTGTTAAGAAACAGTCATGAAAGTATACTCTCTTTAAGTACATTTAAATGGCCTTTTATTTCATTAATATTATATTATCTGCTAGTACAGATTTTTTTAAACATACTTTTAAGATTTGAAGTGCACTACAAATGCATATTCAATACAATTAAGCACACTTCTTTTTCACAAGTGCCTTACAGTTCAAGTTCCCATTTCAAGCCTGTCAACTCAGAATAAAACTGTAAAATGTTAGCGTTTTTTCCTAATGTTAATGTGAAGAAGTGAATCATTGCTACCCACTAAGAAGCAATTCAACACAGTAGTGCATTGTATTACTCTGAGAACATCGATATCTAGCTACATAATGTGAAATGCAATCTTATGTCAGTTGCAACATCATCCAAATCAACAAAATGCAAGGTTAGCAGGTCTCCACTTCCACATGTGACAGTGAAATCCAAGAGAAAAGACTGAACCACGCTGAGAAGGAACAAATTAAAGCTTTTTTTCCAGTAATGTTGTCTTGAAACAGCCTCCCTTACAATACAGTAGCTGTATTTTATTTATTTTTTTAAATCAGCCCCGGTACTGTGGACCAGTGTTGTTAATGTTAATTAAAACGATTACTATTACAAGATTTAATCAGTTGAAATAAAGTCGAAATAAGATAATTTAAACTTAAAAAAAATAAATAGAAATGTTGCCTTGGCTACTGAAATAATGTTTAAATTTAAAAATTACTAAAAATAAAACTGAAATAAAAATAAAAGGTAAATAAAAGTGTAAAAAAAAAAAAAAGGAATAAAAGTATAACAAAAATCTCCTTTATTAAATGTAAATACTAAATTTAAATAAATTAACATTCAAACTAAAAATATAAAAATAAAAGCTAATTTAAAATATTAATAAATACTATAATAGTATATAAATATTATACTGCTGTGGACCAGTTTGGTAAGAAATGCTTTATGCTAAAGCTCTAACCGGCCATTAAAATCCCTTAACCGCAATGTTAAGAAAGATTAGCAAGAAAAAAGGAAAATAAAGACACTAGTTGAGAAAAATACAGCAATTAGAGGTGAGAAATTCGAGTGAGAAAACTAGCTTTTATTCAGTGGAAAATAGGGAAATTACAAAGTAGTGGCAGAAGGGCAGCATCAATTTAGCTAGCTAGCATTAGATTCAGAAATCAAGCACTTCGTTAACTCTTCGACTTACTTGCAGACACACAAATGAGGCACTAACTCTGCATTTAAACCCTACAGCAGGTTTCTATTTCAATCTGCTCAGCTAATGTGACCAGTGCTCCACTGCGCAAAAGCTTTTGACACAGATTTCACAGCCTTTTGCAGGGCTTTCAGACAAATTTCATGCTGCCACTGAAACATTTCTGCGGACTTTATTTACTTTGCCTCCTCCACTTGCATTTTACCCCAGCAACAGGGCTAGTGTGCGACAGCGTGGGTGTGCAGTCATATTTTAATTTATGCTGCAACTATGTTTGGCACTAAACTACACAGTGTGCGACTTTGCGTACTCCACAGTCTTTGCCATCATCCGAGCATGATTTAGACGTCTCCCTGAGGGATTAAGAAGCGTCTAAATAGTCAGTTTAACGTCAGTGCCATTCTAATCTAGCCACATTCCCAGCCGCACTCTGAAGATGAGCCCGCATGCTTAACTATACCCAGTCAAAACATCATAAGCCTGCTATCAAGCGCGGGAAATCTGGCACCGAAGCCATAATGTCCACCATAATCAGAGAGAGCGTGAAGGAGTCTCTGTGGTGAACTAAACAATCCATGCTGTCTTAAATGTATAGCATGGAAAAGCAACATTCCATTTTGGGAGGATTTATGGCTTTTTTTTGCTTCTCGCTGATTAACTTCTTACTTAAAAGAACAAGTTTACTTTGTCAAATTTGTGAAATCAAAATGAACTCCTCAAAATAATGAATAAAATACTGTTGCAAATGAAAATATGAGAATGACAATTGACCAAAAGTGACCCTACACTGTAAAAAATGACCGTGGATTTAACAGTAAAAGACTGTAAAAATGCTACAGTAAAAACCTGTTAAATGGTTAACGGTAAATTCCCCTACTATATACGGTGAAAAACTGTATTGCCGGCAACCACAGCTGCCGTTTTTTTACTGTAAATTTTACAGAATTTTTTTTACAGTGTATTTTCTTTCTTAAAAGAAAAGGTTCATGCAAAAATTTTAGTTTCTGTTATTTACTCACAAAAAAAATATTTTGAAGAATGATGGCAACCAAACAGGTTGTTATTCATTTAAATAAAAATAATAATAAAAAATTTAATGCTAAATTTAAATTTTACTTCAGCCAAATCCATTTGCCAATCAAGTTATGATTTTTTATTTATTTGATTTTTTTTATTTTTTTTTATTTTTGGAGTTTGTAAACCCTGGTGAAACTACTGTATTTTTTCCTTTGAATACAGAATTGCACTTGGCATAAAACAAGCTAAAATGGCCTAAAACAAATAAGCTTAAGACAAGTTAAGCCTATTTATTTACATGTCTTTTAAAATATTGGCTTTTAAAAGCAAAATAAAAATACTGGAGCGACTTATTCACTGTTAAGGTGCGTTCACAGAGAAACAGAGTCATTTCAATAGTAATCTGTGCGAGTTTCAGTCATTTCAATAGTAATCGGCGCGAGTTTCGCTTGAGGGCAAAAAAGTTCCCCACACACATTTTGAAACAGGTTGAAGTTGTTAATGCAAATTCGCCATGTTGACCAACAGAAAACTACTCAGTTTGAAAGTGACTCCTGTGTGAGCCGTGTATGCATTCATGTCGCTACACTATTAAAAACAGACAATAGACATTTTTGCCCGTAAGATTTCACTAATGTAAACGCATTTTTAACAGCACTTCTATACAGTAAATCTGACTGAATCCAGATGATTTAGGCAGTTTATAGCTAAAATTTGTCAATTAATTATAGGCCTGTCGCAATAATCAATATATTGATTATCGCACAATATATACGTGACCTCAATCATTTTTCACAAACAAAGTTTCATCTGCAGATATGGCCTTGTTTAGGGATCTGTGCCTTTGTGACCCTTAAACCCTTAATTTACAGAGAAAAGAAGGTCAGGGAAAAATCTGTAGGTGGAAAAAGCTCCATACAAGTTCTTTGTGAATTTTTCTTTTTTTTCTACTTGTTACTTTGCACTTTTTGTTAGAAAATGATTCAAGTTTTTTAAGGTATCTAATATTTTGACTTAATTTCCATGATCTAGATATACTTAAGAATTAAAAGTTTGTTGTCATTTGAAAGTGTGTAGGCCTTCTTGCATTATTATGCTGTTATATTATGATTATTTATTCAGTGGCATAAAATGGTCTTAAAATGACAATAATATAGTTTATTGCATTTATTTCTGGGGCAATATATCGCACAACAAAAAGATATATCGTGACAGGCTTAATTAATTACCATTTGGATGCAAATGTGATCTCAGTCCTAATGTAAATTTGATTTCACAGCAATTTAGTTTTTCATAATTCTCAGTGGTGTCTCCTGATAACCACTTATATGTTTGGCATGAAACAGATCCAATGGTTTGGATAAAAGCGACTCACTGTTCTGGCAGTGGATTCCATCGAACCCTATTGGACACTTGCAGACATATTCACTGAAGACGTCTCCTCTTCGGGAGTTGATGATCTCACAGAAGCCATCGTTTTTACAAGGGTTAGGGTTGCAGGGCCCTGAGAACAAAGGTCATGTGAGAAATGATCAGCCTCAGCTGAAATGAATACAAGTAACCTTTGCACTAAACTAAACTGTTTTTTTCCCCCCGCATAAATATAAATAACTGATAAGACTGTTACCAATATCGGTCTCGTTGCAGGTGGGTCCAGTGAATCCTTCAGCGCAAATGCATTTAAAGGGATCTTTTCCTGCTTCAGTGACACAGGTTCCTCCATTCAAGCACACATTTACTTCACAGATGTCAGCTGAGAAAAGACAAAGATAGTGGATTTGATATTATATCCATTATTGATATAACTTTCAATAAAACTCAGTGGGGCTCATTCAATAAACATGAAAAGAATTACTTTTTTATATATATATATATATACATATATATTTATACTTATATTGCTGTTTGCACGCAGAATGATTCAGTAAAATTTATGATTAACTCTTTCCATATGTGTGTGTGTGTGTGTGTGTGTGTGTATGTATGTATATATATATATATATATATAGAGTCACATTCAAATCCATGGATTACAGAGAAATTATTAATCTTGTGTTTCATGAATAATGCTCTTTTGGGTTTAATACAGTGAGTGCCGTCAACAGTATTTTCTGATGGTGTAGATTTCTGTTTCTTATAAAAAGGGAAGTGAAAAAGACAATGGGTTTACTGTTTGGTCATGTTTTTATTTGGACATGACCCAAATTGCTGAAGAGGTTGCAGCATTACAGAAAAAATAGAAGTAGTTTCTAGAAGTTTCTTTGCAGTCCTGTGGTTTATACAAAAATTATTTGTAAAGGTCAGGAATGTTTACGTGGGACAGCAATGCTCTGAGGAAAAAAGTATGGAAATGCACATGGAAATTTAGCAGAATAAAAATAATAATAATAAAAAATGAAATGCAATGTTTAATAAATTGAGTTAAGACCTTCCTAACGGATCAATGCAAGTAATTAAATGTATCGATGTAAGATAATAAAAAATAAATAAAAAAGAAGGGAAGGGGAAAAAAAACAGTATATGGATTTGGAACTACATAAGGGGGAGCAAATAAAATGGCAGAATTTTTATTTTTTGCAGTACTAAGCTAAAGAAACTGCACCTCTTACATTTTTATGCATATGCTGAAATGGAAACAAAAACATCCAACTTCAGTTTTTGGAGCTGTTACTATCTTTAAATGTTAATTTTAGCCTGACACATATAGGCCTTGAATTTGCAGAGTTACAACTTTCCACAGTCCCACAACTCTGTGTAAATAATACCTCCGTGAGAGACTTCCTGCGCATCGTTGTGTCCTCCCCTGGCACCGATCCAAAATACCACAACAGAGACACTCAGCAGAGTTTATTCGAGGTGAACGGCACTCGAAATGATAATCAGCCCACGTTTCATGCAGCTCCACCACAGGTTTCAACCGTGTGAACTTGTTTCGCGCCAAGACACCATTTGGCGAACAATCTCCTCTAATTGTGACAAAAAGCAACAGCCTTCACGCTCAGGGTTGAAGCTTCTGGGATAATGACAAAGCCCCGGCCTGCATAAACAGAAACCTTCTTATCCAAACGATTGCAATGCTTATCTTTGGAATGGAATGCATCCTCCTTTTCATGCAATACCAGAAGGCTGAAAGCACAATTCCTTTCAATCTTCTCAAAGAAACTAATTTTAGTCCTGGAAACCAAAAAAATGTATAAAAAAAATTAAATCCCTTGGAATTGCCTTTGATATGATATGCCAGGCACAAACTGTTTAGCAGCTCAGATCAACCCATCCATCACAGAAAAGCACTGAAAACTCCACGGGGAACAGAAACTGTCTATGGATAGCTTGAAGGATTCGTAGTCAACTACTTTTATCTTGCCGACCAGTTATGACAAAATTGACAGGGGAAATTGAGAACTGAAAGTAATTCACTGCGGCTTAATAACTTTAAACACAACTCATTGCTAGTCACAATACTGCTTTTGTTTCCATAGAAATGTAACTCTTAACAGAAACCGTTGCCCATCTGCATGGAATGTCGCTTTTTTTAGGTGCTGACATGGGCACATGTTTTGTGGGAAAACTCTTGTATCTAACAGGACAAATTACCAAAAATTAAAATTGTGCCATCATTTACTCACCCTCATGTCATTCTAAACTCGTGTAATTTTCTTTCTTCCGTGGAACGCAAAATAAGACGTTTTGCAGAATGTTCAAGCTGCTCTGTTCCATACAATCAAAGTAAAGTTAATCAAGTTTTGCCAAAAACAAAAAACAAAAAAACAACTTGATTGGCAAAAGCTTCTGAAATGCAATTATAAATTGCATTTATAAATAATTTATTGTTTTAAATAATAATAATGAATTGATTGGAAAATGTAAAAGAAAAGCACTTACCTTTCTAAAATGCAATTTACAAATTACAATTTACAAACAATTATTTTATTTTAATCTATTTTAAATGTATTAATTTAGTGCTTTAACTTTAACATGAATTAAATCAATTGTTTTAAATGTGTATTAATGTGTCAAATAAAAAATGATTAATTTAGTTATTGTTATTTAACAATTTTAAAACATGAATTTTAACTGTTTTAAATGTCTTTTAATTTGTCAGTTTAAAAAGTAATTTATCTATTGATGTTTTTGTGTTTAAATTATTCAATTTAGCATTTATTTATTATTTTATTTTTAAGTAGCACTCCTGGTTCTTTACCCACCATTCACTTTCATTGTAAGGAAAAGAGCAGCATGAGCATCATCATCTCCTTTTGTGAAGAAAAAAAACCATATCGGTTTGGAATGACATGAGGTTTCTGAGAATATATGTATGAAAACTAAAAAGTACGGATAATAATTCATGTCAGGGAATCCACATCAAGCTGTATCATCTAACATTTACCAGCTATACTTAACCTTGTTTAACTGTCAGAGAACTCAATGTTGACCTAATATGTTCTGGAAGGCCATTAGACAGAAGTGAACACATCAGCTGAATGCAAATCTGTTTGATGAAGTGAAACATTTGATCAGCTTCTCATCAGCGGAGCTGGCCTTCTGATCAGCAAAAGCTCTGAAATCGGAGTGGAAGCGGATTATTCTGCCACAGGCTTTCGGATAGATGGCTTTATCACATGGTCTTTCTTTAACTCACATGGAGTTAAACGTGTAAAGGCAGGCTACTGTGGGATTGTTCACTCCTCTATCACAAATGAGGCACGCAAACAGGGACAAAGAAAGCAGAAATGGAATTTGGCCAGGCAACTGTGACCCTGAAAAAACAAGCGGGCAGTGCTGAGCCAACGCAGAAAATGAGTAATAACCAACATGCTATTGACCCAATCCCAGTATGGTCAAAACAACTTTTTGTGACTGCACTGATATTGAAAATGTGCAGGCTTAAAGGGATACGCCTAAAAATAGGAATTTTGGAATGACTTTGGGGCACCACTGAAACCAAAGGCCGGCTTGTTACAATATTTTTGCAATTCATTTTGGTGATACTAGTGGCACAGAAATTACAGTCTTCAGCTTTAAATTTGTAAACAACTTGAAGTAAACAGTCCAATAACAAACACATTTGATGTGCTACTATTATGGTTAGCCAGAAAAATACTACATTTTTTTACTAAAAGAACCAAAATGAACAGTTCAAAACTGAAAATAACTGAACAGTTCAAAACCATAAAACCACTCGCTCCTTCATTTCATATATCTGGGACGTCACTTGAGTCATTTAAAAAAAGAAGCATGACCTGATCTGCAATCTTATGAGTACAACAACTATATAATAACTAATAACGGTTAAAAAGTATAGGGAAGGGCTTTAGAAAGGAGTCATCGGCATGAGGAGTCATTCAGCTACAATCTGCTGAACGGATCACGCACACTTGGCCAACAAAAGAACCCTTGACTGTCGTATTATCAACAGGTGCAAAACAAAAACAACAGACTGGAGGACAACCAAAACACTGCACACATGCATGTGAGAGCACGCAAACGCAACAACACACCTACATGCCAAATCCCAGTTTGATTCTAGGGGATTCACTAATGACAGGAAATGCAACTGTACTATGCAGATCACTCAATGTTTATAGGCTAAAGACTTTTATAGGTTTGATACTGGTAATTTAATGACATTGTAAGTTCTTAAAATAATCACATATTGGGACACAATTTCCTTGATTTGTTTAAGACAGTGCTAACTTTCACAACTCTAAGGAAAATTTTAAATTTCTATATTTTGTCTAAATAAATAAAAAATAAATCTTTAAAAATGTAAAAAAAAAAAAAATTATATAAAAATTGTTTATGCTGCAAGTGTATCACAAACATCAGAAAATCACAACATTAAAATTTACAGTATGAAAAAAGTTTATGAAATTAGTTTTGAGATTAAACGGTGTTATTAAATTATTGGCAGCTGTTTTAAAGATTAATTGAAAAAGTTAGATGATGGCATGGGTAATCTAAATGTAAAAAAAGTGAAAATGAATATGCAGAATATATAATAATAATAATAATAATAATAATAATAATAGTTAATCAAACATGAAGAAGGCTTCTAAGAAGACACAACAGCACAAAACAGCTCATTTTGACTAATAAACTTCTCCAAAATTATAAGTGGGCTTAAAATTAGCAACTCAAGAAACAAAAATGGAGAAAAACTGTGCCGTGCACTTTTAAGTCTTGACACTGATAAAATATGCATACAAGTACAACATCCAAGTAATGCAACAGAACCTTTTAAGTTGTTAAAAATTGGGGATCTGTGTCTTGGTGTTGATTTGTGTTGCAACCTTTGTGTATATTTAGAAGCCCAAAGTGTTAGTTTACCTTTTAAGCCACCCTTGGAACTTACTTTACGGCTTATAGCTTCACACTGTACGCTAAAGGTGTCCTGGATTTATAACTCCACATTACTGCTGGTGTGAACATGCATGTGTGTAGGTGTGTGTTAATGTTAATGTTCAGTGTGTTTTCTCAGCTATGCGGTCATTCGCACATCATTTAAGATCAGGGGCGCGGGAAGATGTTTTCGGTTGGGAGTGCTGTGTGTGTCCGTGTTGGGTGGGGGTGTTTGGGGGGGCTGACTCACTTACGTCGGTGCTCGTGCTGGGGCTGGTGTTGTTTGGATGCCGATTTTGGAAAGTTTTTGCTGGGATGGGAATTTAAAAAATCTGATATTCGCTTTTGCGCCATTATCTCCTTGTATTAAAGTTAATCTTGTTCGCATTCTGTATAGTTCATGTCTGATACCACGCGATAGCGTCACGTGTTCATGAGGATTAGGCTAATCATCCCATATAGAAAACATCACAAGTAAAAGAAATCATGTTTATAAAGATAAATATGGGTTTATTATAGCCCACTTACAATTTACATTTCAGAGATCATTACAAATAAATTATTAAATGCTAAAACTGAATAAATTTAAATGAACAAACTTGGCGTTGCATTTGCAACCATGTGAAAACAGGGGGTGCTGCAGCCCCCTCAGCACCCCTACTTCCCGCGTCCCTGTTTAAGATGCCTTCATACGGCCCTGGGGAACTCTGTGTTCCAAACCTCATGTTCCTACATCACTGAATCCCACGTTAAAACTCCCAGAACAGCTCAAAGCACTGAGGCATGCAGCTTGCACCTCTTAATGACCAAGCAAATGACCTATAAAGATATGGTCTGCACACAAGAAACATACTGTTCTTGGACCAATAAACTGCTTTTTTTGGTAAACTGTCAGTGAGCTTGAATCTTCAGGTAGGATTTCTGTCAACTAAAGGCATTTCTCCAGAACACCACAGCCATCGGTTCTTAAAAATAACCTACAAAGACTAAAAATACACTCTGGCGTACAGAGAAAACAGCCATTCTCGAAGGCAACGCAAATAGGCTTATAATTCATCTTACTTGGAAATGCTATAATGTAAAGCATAATATTTTGACGTGTTTTACACTCAAGCCACGGATTCAAAATAGTCATAAATCCAGTGCAGCGTATTTGTTCAAAATATAGTAACAAAAGTTTCCTGTCAAGTGTCAGAATATGCTCTTTTAAAAATTCAACGCACCAGATTGGAAAATGGAGCATGAGACCAAGATGGAGCGAAATGAGAAATGCCATGTTGCCAATGTATGGATGCCATGAGAAATGCCAATGTATGAATGAAACATTGATTAGGGCTTATTGAAAATTAATCACAGGAGAAGCAGCCCTCATTGGACTGCTATTAGAAGTGGAGTTGTCAGGACAAATGAGCCCATCCCCGGAGGGGAAGACCCCGCTGCCAGATGGCACGGGCCACGCGACAGCTTTTGAACGGCTCGCAAACACATTCTTGCAAAAGAGAGCGAGTGAAAAGCAGGAGGCTGTGTGGTCGCTATAATTAGCGTACTCTCCGTCAGCTGACCTAAGAGGCCTGGGTTGTGTTGATAAAAGTCTTTATTTGCTGATTTTAAGCAGTTTTTTGGAGATCCATCAAGATTTTGATGGATGAGTGCTGATCTTAGATCAGCTTGAGATTGTAGCTTCAATCCAAAACTGTTTACCTTCTCAATCCGATAAGAAAGACAAACAACTCTCAACTTTTAAAGGGATAATTCACTCAACAATAAAAATTGTCATCATTTGATCATTTTCATGTTGTTTCAAACCCGTATGATTTCTTTCTTTAGTCTAACACAAAAAGAAATGTTAGGCATTTTGTTGATGCTGTTCTCTTGCACACACTGACACTGAATGGTGACCAGCAGATGTCAAGCTCCAAAATGCACCTAAATGCATCATAAAATTAGTCCATACAACTATATTCCAAGTCTTTTGAGGCCATAATATAGATTTGTGTGAGGAACAGACTGATATCAAAGTCATTATTCAATGAAAATCTTATTTGTAGATCTCAGGTCTCATTAATTGTATTTGAATATACTCATATTCAAATTCCATGCCTTGTGAACTATTACTAGATCCCTTAGTACTAATAATGGTTGGCATCTTTGATGTCAAACCTGGTGTGACATATTTTGTGCCACGTTTGAATATTCAAATTTGAATGAGATTTGTGAGCTGCGCAGAGAAGCTTATCAGTCAATAACAACAAAATTTCTGTCTTTTTCTTATTTTCTTACTAGATTTGGAATACAGTGCACATGTCATACTTTTACTCTTTGTCCTGGTCACCATTCACTTTCATTGAAAAGAAAAGAGCAACTGGTAAACATCTGGCTTTAAGTTCCATGGAAGACAGAAATACCACAGGCGTTGGATAGACAAGAAGATAAACAAAATTCTCTTTTCTGAATTAACTTTTTGTTTAACTGCATCCAAACATCATAGAGCGCCAATTTCATCACTTAAAGGGGTCCTATTATGCTCTTTTACAAAGTCTTGATTTTTTTGGGGGTGTACTAGAACATGCTCTCATGCTTGGTGGTTCGAAAAAGGTATTATTTTTCACATAATTTACATTATTACAATACCTTTCTCCCCATCCTGGCGCAAACGGCTTGATTAGTTCCGGGTTTGATGAAGGCCCGCCTTCCAAAAAACGAAATGTGTTGTGATTGGTTAGCTGTCCCAGTGCGTTGTGATTGGCGAACAGCATTTCAGTACTGCCACGCCCCTTGCCAAAGCAGCAAGTTTCTAAAACTTCAAAGCAGACTAACTCTAGACTTACAAACTTACAGACTCTATTTGTGGCTGCATATATATGCAAATTCATTCTCTGCCAGCAGAAGGCGCTGCTGGAGTGGTAGAAATCGAGGTTTCCCCGGTAACGGCTGTACACAAAGCAGCGCTCCGCTCACAAACACTGCTTTATCAGACGTTACATGCAAGATGAAATGAAAATCAATTTCTGAAGACAGTCAGTTTCCTTCAGAAATACAGTGATATAAAAACACCTGCACTCACTGTATGGGAAACACTGTAGTCTCATAATTTAAGTGTAAATTCTGCAGATTACATCATTGTCCAGTATTGTACTGTCAGCAATTTATTATAAAAAAGTTTTCATAATTGTAACATACATAATTATTCAGGTGCATGTGTATAACTTGAGAAAACTTGACGCTACAGCAGCACTTCTTCGTCGTCGTCTTGTCTGATGCACTCAACCAAGCGTTCTAACCCATGACCTCGCCCCTCCCCACCCCCCAACCATTCGAATTTCCGTAGGACTGAATTATTTTAATGATATTCTAATGGACCGCTTTGTGACATCACAAAACCCGGAAAAAACGCTGTAGTCCAAACGAGCCATTCATTGTAGTTCTTGAAAAGGGATTTTTTAAAAACGAAATATCTCCCTTTGGAGTGGACTTTGAGATTTGTAACTTTGTAGATCTTTTTATGGCCAAACATACACACTACAAACTGACTAAAATTCAAAAAGTGAAAAAGCATAATAGGTCCCCTTTAAAGTGTGAATGAAGAAGATCAAGGAGGCGACAACTGAACCATTTGAAAACTTCACAGAAAATGCTTTGACATGGAAAACTCTCTGGAAAACTACCACAAATCACTCAAGAAGCAGTCAACATTACAATAATGAAACTCTGAAGGAAAGAGGCTGCATTTTCCAAAGGTTTGCACAAACCTGTTCTGCTGCACTGGTCATTAGAGGCAGGAAGTGCCCTGGCCTTGTTGGGCTCCGCTGCATATTAAAGTGGCCACATTCATTGGAAGTGACTCAGTGATTTGGTCACTTGAGCCACACCTTCAGACTGGAGCCAGATCATGGCTTGAGGCTCAATGGCAGATGGGGAAGTGTATTCTTAAACAAGTATCAACATCCGTGGAGGCAAAAAATGAGTAATTGGGCCAATTAAATATTTCAAACAAAACCTACTAAAATCTAGACATTACAAAACAACACTTGGCAGTACAAAAAAAGTCATCTCCTCTTGTTTGTTCAGGGTCTATGGAGGAAATTAATTTAGACATGCTGTCAAAAAAATCTTAACATACATGAGTGGCCAAGGCATGAAATTGGTGCTCAAATGGTCTTCCACATTGGACCATGCAGCTATAAAAGTATGTGCAAGCCTGTAGGTCACTGGCAATGGATTGAAATCAGGACATGATGTTTTGTATACACTAGTGTGACAAGAAAAGGATAAAGCAGAGACCCCAAGGCGTTAAACGCAAGTACAGACACGAATAACAAACATTTTGGTCGACCAGAGACATCAACTAGATGACCACAGGGACTTTTCATAAAGTGAAGCCTCCAAGACTTGTTTACAAGACGATAGTGTAAGAATGGACAGTAAACATAATTCATTAATTACTAAATGTATGAAAGTAAAAACTCCGGTGTAATATAGGCTACATTACACACAAAAGAAAAAAAAAGAAAATAAATAAGCTGTCTGGTGTCTTGACATTTAAAACATTTCACATCAAACTAATAAGGACCATAGACTTTCACTTGCTTTGTTTATAAATGTAGTTTGCCATGCTGTTTTTTTGTAGCGCTCAATGCACAGACGAAAACAAAAAACTTACCGCTCGCAGTGGAGACCGAAACAGCAAGAAGACACGCCGCGAAAAGTGGCAAACTAACAAACAAGCTTGAGAAAGTTCTCATGGTGCCGAATTGTTGTTCTTCGGTGAACTTCTCGTCTGTCAGGAGCCGCTCGGTATGAACCCGTTCGCCGTTATGATTATAAGCAAGATTAGAGGCAAGAGAGGGACAATATGTGCTCCCACGTGTATCTCTGCTCTTAGCCAATTACATACTGTTTTTAACATATAGCCCCGCCCATGACCCCGCCCCTTGGGTAGTCATTAGTGCGGACAACTGGGCGCATTGATTGACTTGATAGAGTAACAAAACAGCTCGGTTTACATTTGATGGTTTTAGGCATTTTGCCGTGTTTTCAGGGATAGTTCAGCAAAAAAATTGAAAAATATTTACTCACCCTTATGTCGTTTCAAACCTGTAGGCCTATAACTTTCTTTCTTCTACATCCAGCTGTTTTTCTCAGAATGTTCAGGGAGCATTGGCTTTTGGTTATAGAGATAAAACCTAAAACTAATCATTAAGGAACGTTTTGTGTAAGTTTTGAGAAGGTTAGCTTTTGTTTAAAAAAAAAAAAAATGAGAACGTTCCCAAACCCTTATTTTCCGGTTCCAAAGAGGAACCAAATAAGAACGTTAGGGGAACGTTGTGTGTATGTGTTTGTTACCATTCACTCTTGTTATATATTTTTTCCGATCCACTATATGAATAACAAAAGTGGGGTGAATAAGTTATGACAGAATTATCAGAATTTCTTTAAAGATCTTAAAAGGAGTTGATTTTTCTGAATGCATGATTACGGCTTGTTAGAAGTGTTTATTTAAACATCAGCTAGGACCAGCTTAATACTGATAGCGTGATAAAGCGGATTGTTGTGACAAACAAATGCTGCAAAATTCATGCAAAAGCATAATTTGTTTGTAAGGTAAAGGTAGTGGGTGTATTGCTCTAAGATCCATTTATGTATGCAGGTCGATGCAATGTGTGGGTGATGGTCAATTGGTGATCTTCGCGCATCATGCTTTTCTTTTAGTATCTTGTGCTTTTGTGTATATACAGCAAAATGCAAGTTGCTGGACAATGTAAACTCGAAGATCCAGTAAATTAGAAATATAGAAAGAGAAAATGTATGTTAGTTAACCCCAAACTTGAAAGGATTTCACAAAGTCAAAACGTCTAAGGAGAAAACCAAATGTTCATGCACCACTAGATTTAATTTTATGCTTAATGAAAAATAGCTTATTAATGTCTCTCTTGGCTCTGTTGCTGGGGCCCTTAAGAGCTCACGTCTAAATGCTCCTCTAGACACGTTAGCCAGTCCCACTTGATTTGATTGAATATAAAGTGAGGTTGATTTTCCTCCAGCAGAGCCACTAATCTCTAATAACATAATGGATGTCGGCTGTGGGGAAATCATGGAGCTGGATTTTAAACATCAGACATTTAAGATCCTGGTTGTCTCACAAAATATCTTATTTAGCGTCACTTAGAGTGACTAACTGAGTTTCATTTATGGCACTTACGGGAAATAATACAATAATTTATAAGGGGGATCAAATCAACTGTGCATTAAAGAGTGCATTTGGCCCTACTTGGAATTTGCCGTGTAATAGCTATATTGAGTCTTCCAGATGTTTTTGGACTGTTGGTCCACTCCTGTTGTCAATTTTGCGTCTGCTCTCTCCAATTCTCTGAATTTCTGTGAGGACATACCACTCTGACGAAAGTAGCTACTAATACATGGAAACTGTAAACAACTTGCTCCAGATATGGCATGGTGTGTGTTTTCAATTGTATCCTGCCATCTTGTGGAAATTATCAATCAGCACACTGTTCATATGAAGCCGTAAGCTATTAAATCAACCAAGTATCATCTATCTATCTATCTATCTATCTATCTATCTATCTATCTCTTTCATTATTTATTTACTTAGTCTATTTATGTATATTTAGAATATGGGATTTTCCTCTCTATTTTAAGCATTTTAGTTCTGGGTGGTTAAAATGAATTTAAATGCAACATGTGCAGTAAATGCGTATAAAGGAATAACATTTATTAGCAGGTCATTATTTAGATAGGTTTAAATTAAATTATAGGTAGGTTAACAAACAAACATGTCCAGTAAATACGTTAAAAGGAATAACATTATCTATCATTTAGTTAGGTGAATATATTTATTCTATTCTGTGGAACAATGCAAAACAAAGGAGATTGACCACGTTGAAAGTTCTTCATACATTTCAAGTTAAAAACTTGCTTTTACTTTAAACGTTTAAGTAAGCGACCTTGTAATGCTTTAAGCGACCTTGAGCGTGTGGAAAGGTTCTATAAAAATAAAACTTCTTAAGTACAATTACGTATTGAAAGCTTTTTTTGGTTTTAACTTTCACTTAAGTAGGCTATGTTTTTGGCCCAATATTTTGACTTCTCCTTTAGTAACAATTTAGCACAGTATCCATACTTAAACTTAAGTGTTATTTCTTTGTACCTTTTGCTCACTTCAGGTAACAGCTATTGAGTGACAGTGAAGTTGACGCTATTGTAATTCTAGCGCACAGTGATACTGCTGGAACCAAACGAATACCAATGGCGCTGAAGGCGCGCCGACTCTGACGTCATTGTAACGCTGCTCCAATCAGAGGGCACGAATGAAGACGCGCTCCAGTTGCTGGGTGTAAAGTGAATGACGAGGCACGCTGCATGTCGTTTGAAGTCGTCTGATATCTCTGAGTACTGTACAGTGAAGATGTCAAGAGCAGCGGCACAGCGGAATCACTGGACGACTGTGAAGCCAAGGTATGCATTGTTTTCTTTTTGCATAACTGTGCATGCTAAGAATTCGATTTTATAGGCTAGTTATATTCTACTATAGCATAGCGTACAAGAAATGCATAAATTGCTCAACGCATCCTGTATTGTCTTATAACCAGTGCAAAATACACGTAAAACAGCAAATTTATATTGAATAAATGATATTAATAATATCCTAAGTATGTTTGTCAGAAGAATGCTTAACTCTATGGATAGGGTCACTGTAAACTGATTAACCCCCTGTAACTCTTGCATGATGTAGTTTACTTCGACTGGATGACACATCTGGGTCAGTGAAGAGCCTCAGTTTTTCTGCTGGACTGAACACTGACATTCGGAAGCTGCTTTGTAACCCAGCACATATTTTTTTTAAAGTCAAGGTGTGGTATGAAATTATTAGCATTCTATGTGCAATATTTATCTATTTTGTATTTGTCATTTATCTTATCTTTATATGTGTTTGGCATATTTTTTTAAGTTGGATTAATTGTGTGCAAATTTACTTATTTCTATTTTTACTACATATGCATGCATGCACGCACAGGTGTGTGTGTATATATAGGTCAACAACAATTAATGTCTGATATTATAAAAAGAAGAATATTATCTAGTTTAAGACACAAGTGTCAAGTTCTTAGATATGTAATCTTTGTATCCATGTTTGAAAAATACTTCTAATATTTTCTACAAAAAAAACAGTAACATTATTTTTTTAAGTTAATTAGAAAATTATTTATTTGACATTTAAGTTTTACACATACAGTTTTATGAATATCGAGACGCTTATTTACTTGGGCTTATTCCATTTGATCTGAACAATGTATAAGTGATATTTGAAATATGTGATATTCTACTGTCTGCTTATGTATATATTCATGTTTGCACTTTAAAAGTTATTATAAGTTAAATTATTAATACATTTTCTTTTTCCTTATTGTTATTATTTCCTCAAATCAGCCATCAGTAGACTAATCCACCATGAGTGCCCAAGTGGAGGCAGACATCCGCACCATATCTCCTGAGATGCCTGCCATGTTTGATGGCATGAAGCTGGCTGCTGTAGCCACGGTTCTGTATGTCATAGTGCGGAGCCTGAACCTGAAGTGTCCCACGGTGTCCCCTGACATCACCTGTCAAGATACCCCTCTCAGTCGCTACCTGCTCAAGTCTTGCCCCATTCTAACCAAAGAGTGAGTGCTGCTGACTAGAAAGCTTTCTTGTCATCCTTTTGCAATCTTCTCACACATGGCATCTTTTTTAAATGGCAAAATACAATAAAATGATGTGATTTGCTGTAGAATGACTAGAAGAATCCAGGAATAAATGTTTTGTTAAATAAATATTTGGATACTACCTTTGAGCCACTCTTTATAAATATTATGCCACATGCCCATGTATCCAGGTACATCCCTCCCTTGTTATGGGGAAAGAGGGGACATCTCCAGACTGCTCTTTATGGGAAGATGGGAAGGGTAAAGTCCCCAAAACCTTGTGGGCTGTGTAAGTACCTGCCCATGTCAGATGGAGCCACTGCCACCTTTGACCTGTTTGTGTCCACAGTACTGGAGGTGAGCTTGGGTTTTGCAATAAAGGGATATTTGACCCCAAAAAGGAAATCTTGATCCAAAAATATACACAGAGCTATGGTTCAAAAAGACTGAACTATTAAGCACAAATAATCTTTTTTTATGATGCTTACTTGCATTTTTAGACCTTGACAGCCTGACATTTTCATCCACTTAGGGTGTTTATGATTAAGACGATTCCTCTGGAGAGGAAAAGGTGTTGCTCGTTCTTTCACTAGAGTTTATCTGTCTCTGTCCCATCACAGATGACATCACCATGGTGATCTGTCCTGGGATCGGTAACATAGTGAGAAGCATTATATATGGACCTTTGTGGATTATTCACAGAAACAAGGCTACAGGTGCGTTCTCAACCATCTTGGAGCGCTACCAAACATCGAGCTGACTTCTCCGAGTATGTTCACGTACGGTAAGCCACGTGTGACAAGCATGCTTGTTTGTTACGAAACAAGCATACTTGTGAAAAACAACCAGACAGTTGGTTACAATTTCTTTATAATAAGATGAGTTTTTTTGTTAAAAAATAAATACATTTTATATTTGCTTGTCTTTAGGGCTCAGGAGACGTTTCTACAGTGGGATCAGTGTAGGAGGCTGTACAACATCATGGCAGACAACATGAAAAAAATCATTCTATCTCACAGGTAAGTATCCTTATTTTTGTGACATATCTGGTTGTAGTTGGTCAGTCAGGGCATCCACTAAACTGTATGATTGACAACCAGTGGCAACCCTGGCAACCAATTTTTTTATATCCCTATTAGGGATGCAACAGTTATACCTCGTTTTTTAATCCTGCTTTTCGGTTAGGTTTGGTTCAGTTCGGGTGGCTTTTTTTTTTTTTGCGATTTGCGGTTTCTAATGCGATTTTTAAAACAAATTAACAAAAAAAAAATCCTGTACACTGGAGAAAAACATGGACATCATATGTCTACTTCAAATTTCTTTTGAGTGAAGTATTATTTTTCCTATTTTTACTCAAAATTGGCTATTATTGAGCGTTATAGACACATGTAATGTCTGTTTCAGACATTGGCCATTATTGAGTGTTATAGACACATGTAATGTCTGTTTCATTCATACTGGAAGCCACAAGTATATTTAATTATTTAGTATTTATTTATTTTATTTATTAAGTATATTTGTAATCCATTGCTAATCGACATAGCCTTTATTACAGTATAGAATATATTTTCTGCCTCATTCTGTCATTTTGTGAAGCCACATCAGATCACAAAAGGAAGCTATTTTAAACACTCCACTGATGTTGTGGAGTAAAACCATGGTATAATGCTCTCTTGTTGGACAACAGGTTTAGAAACGCTTCTCACAAGGGAAGATGTTCGGCGTGTGTTGCTTTTTAAAATGCACGTTATAAGCGGGGAGGCATTTGCTCATCTCATCGCGCAGACTCACTGGCACACAAACAGAGCCGATTCAGAGAGAACCGTGGGTGTCGTGCCGAATCGTTCAATATTATATTGAGAATTGTGACATCCCTAATCCCTATATATCCTATATTTACTGACCATGTGAAACTGAGTCTAGTAAATCTATCCTGTAGGGCAAGTTTATTTGGTATGAGCTCTAGCAAAATGGAGCCCGCCGACCTCAGCTGGCTGTATACGGCCACTTCACTCATGCAGATTGATGACAACATTATGAGGTACTTTAAAAGCTTTCATGAGACAATTCTGACTGCATCTTAAGTTCCCATAATGATTCTTTTCAAAATGTATGTATCTATTAGGAAGTTTCATGGACACAACTCCATAAAGAAGGGACTATGAGAAGGAAAGCTGTGTGCATTATATTCACAATGTATGTAATATTGTTGAAAGCCAGATATATTAAAGGTGGGGTAAGCGATTTTTCAAAAACGCTTTAGAAAACTGATTCGGGCCGACTAGCAAAACAAACTTGTAGCCAATCAGCAGTAAGGGGCGTGACTACTCATGATGTGGAGGAGAGAGCGTTCAGTGCACAGGACAGACATTAGTGAGCCGAGCGACAGAAAGATAGAGATGGCGGATAAAAACAAATGAGGAAAACGTCTGCGGAACAAAAGAAGGCTTAAGGCAATAAGGCAAGAAGTAGGACCGTGTAAATATCGGATCAGCTTTCCAGCGCTGGAGAGAACTCAAGGAGCGGAAGGCCTGCGATCGGCGAGACCCTTTTGGGGTAGGGGTGTGTTTGTTTGTCAAATGTCAACATTGGCTACCAGAAATCGCTTACCCCACCTTTAAGTCATATTGTTTTTTTCATATTAGTTTTTTTGATAACCATAATCTTATGTCTCTTATATCAGATCAGTGTTCCTCTCCTCTTGATGAACTCTTCAGCTGATCCATTAGTCCACCAGTCACTGCTGACGATACCTCGCACACTAGCAGGTATTTATATTATTAGATTTTTACTATTCTATCTATTACTTTCCATTTTTATCCATCTTTACTGGGAAGAGTTAATGGATGTGTCAAGTGGCTTTTAACAAGCAAAAAAGAAGCCATTAAACAAAGGACAGACCAAAGGAGTGTAAAAAAAAAAGTCAAACATCTTCGACACGTATGGCCTAATAGTGCTTTTAGGCGCCCATTAAGACTCTCAGCACCGCTGTGTGTCTAAGATCCTGCATTGGACACCTGCGCTGAATTTTTCAGGGCCATCTGATCCTTCCCTCTGTGATTACTTATCAGATTACTGCCGTCAGCTTCTTCCTTCAGCCTCAGGTGAAAGACCCAGCAGCGAACCCCTATTAACGAGCCTAACTAAGGAAATATGGGTCACCTGATCTTCAGCTCCTTCCCTTGAGCTTCAACAGAACTTTAAAGTTGATGCATTTTTAAAGAGGCCACAACAGAAGTCTTTGTAGCCTTGTATATAAATTTGGATGGATTATTGAGCATTCTGAGTATATGTCTAATTGATATTTAATGCTGTTAACTTTTGATGTGTTCCTAAAATAAGTCTGTATTGTTTCTCCACAGAAAAGAAGCAAAATGTGACCTTTGCACTGACACTACATGGAGGTCATCTCGGCTTCTTTGAAGGCGCTGTTCTCTTTCCTCAACCTCTTTTCTGGATGGACAAAGACATAGTCAGTTATGCCAACACTATCTGCCAGTGGGAGAAACACAGGCCGCAATGCCAGCAGGAAAAACAATGCCTTGTGCAACACTAAGCATAACACTTTACGGTGTTCTTGTTTGCTCATGCAATTCTTGAGTTGAGGTTAGATGATGGTTTCTAAAGATCTGACTCACTAGAGTTTGCTCTGACCTTCAAGCAGGAATTTGAGAGAAAGCACATACAGTAATAAATTATACTTACCGTAAGTTGTGTCAGATGTCAATGGTGTATCGCTACAAAGCCTGACAAACTGTGCAGAGGGATTCGTAAAATGTTTTTGAAAAGGTTATAGTGAAACTTGTGGAAGAACATATTTGGCAAGAGGAGATGGTAAAGAGGTTAAGACAAATAACTGTTGTAACTAACCCAAAGTTCACCAGCTGTCATTTACATAGATTTTTCTATACTGTGATGTCAGCATATCTCAAATAATAACTCATCAAATCACCTTTGTGAGATGTTAAAATGTTGATCTGTTTGGAAATTGTTAATATTAGTGATGAAATTCAATATAATTTGAAAGTTTGCACTTACATTGAAATGGTCCTCGTTTTCTTTTGAATAGTCTGTCCGGTTGCCTTATGTTTTATTGACACTTTTGCATTTTATTGCTGCTTCAGTGGCACAATTATTTTCAGTAAATGTATTTAATAAATAGTTTCCTGTAGATGGAAGCACAAACAATTGTAGCAATATTCTTTTATCTGACTGACCTATTTATTGGCGTCTTTTAAAACTCTCTCTCTCTCTCTCTGTGGTTCTTACTATCATTCTCTGTTGTTATAGTAGAACGCTATAAATAAACATGTCAAATTATTTCATTTAAATGTAACATTAAACCAAAGAACAATGGCATAGTATTTTATTGCACTGTAGAAGTGGATTAGCTTTTTCACGTCACGTCTTGAATTGTCATTTAATAATAACCAGTTCAATTCTCTTGACAGTATCTAAGAACTGGAATCAGATCATATCTAATCCTAAATGTTTATTTTTATTTTAGTATTCTGACTACTTTTATTATTATTTTAAAACTATATCTTTTATTTTTTTGCTTGTTTTAATGTAATGTAAAAAAAAAAAAAACTTTTTTTTTTAATATATAAAATTTTATGTCCCACATTTTGTTTGGTAACAAGGTTCCAGTATTTGCAAACACAGAAAATTAAACAGCACATATTTAGTTTGACCTCCTGAGGCTGATGATCAATTTTGTCTAAAGGTTAAGCATCTTTCACTGCCTTAATGTTTTGGTTTCTTTTTAATGACTTCATTTTTTTAGTTTTTTGTACCCAATTTGTGGAAATTGCCATAATTTGTGCAGCTTATTTTCTAGAAAGAAATAGATGTAGCACTCAAGTACAATGTTTGACATTCCAAAAGGTTTTTATTTGCGTTCTTTTACAGGAAATACATGACAATGTAATAAAGTTGTCATTTTAATTGTGCACTTTTATTTAGTAAAACGGTTATTATTATAATGAAATTTTATGTACTCACTTTAACTTTCTATAGAAAGTTATCCATTCAAAACATCATATATTCTTATAATTATGTTTTACACATTGACTAAGCTTGAGTATTTTTCCATTCTCACTTAACAAGAGAAACAACAGAAATGTCTGTACTCTGTCATCTGCTCCAAAAGAATATCTATATTTCGGGGTAAATCTGAAAATGGGGCCCTGCCCATGATTAGTGAGGAATGTCAAGCACTCCTATAAAACAGAGTGTCACAGAGAACTAACTGATCTTATCTGTTTCATTCCTTTTCAAAGACATCTGGAGACTTTTCCAGTGAGGCTGGCGGTTTGGTATGGGAAAGTCTCTATGCTGCTGGGTTCACTCTCAGAAAAACAAAAACACATTCAATCATTCTGTAATACAATACAACTAAAATAACACACAGTCGCGTGCTTGTACTGCCACAGATAAAAAGTGCTTAGTCAAAGAGTTGTGTTGCTGTGACCTTTCCGTCATATTTGGGGCCTTTCCCATCGAAGTCTGAAGGCAGGATTTCAGCATCAAACTCCTTGAAGTAGTTCTCCAGCTCATCACCGTGAACAAACACCTTCAAAGACAGAAAGTCAAAATCACTTTCTCATCCATCATGAATATTCTTTGCAATAAACACAGTTTACCCTTTCCAACAGTTTGCTCTTCATCAGGGGTTTGACCACATTGTAGGTGGTGGTGAAGTACCAGGGCTGGTGGATAAAGTGCACTGCTTTGAAACGCGCAGGGAAAGAATCCTGCCATACACAAGAAGCGGCAGCAATTAAGATGAGGAAAGATGGACATTTATGTGTTATTAATATAGACTATGAAGGTTGATACGCCAACTAACTAATGTTTAGATTATGGTTTAGATGCAAAAAAAAAATGTGTGTATGTACTAATATTGCCCAGTCGTGTTTTACTGTCATCTTGGACTTATACTGACACTTAGTGGCGAGGTTGCAGCATTACATAAAAAGCAAATAGTTTTCAGTTACTGCTTTCACTGTAGAAATGCACTATTAGCAGTTGGTCATGATTAATTAATTTCATATTCATTTCTTTGTGATAAAACCTTCTTTGTAGGTAAGTATTACTGAATGCACCTTTAAGAACTAATACAGAGAGCTATTTTTCTAAAAGTCAATAGGTCACCTGCAGCATGTCCACCATTTTCTTCAGCTCTGTGGGCTTGATGCCAGAGGCTTGCTGCATGGTGAAACCCTTAAAGTTTTCAATGATGCAAAACCCGTTGATTTGAGTCTCATCATTTTGCAGAAGCTTCTCCAGGATCACGCAATAGGCTCTGAGGATCTGGAACAAACACAATATCAATACATGTAACAGACTTTTAGTTTTTTTTAATGCATCCTTGCTGAATACAAGTATTTTCTACAAAAAAAAACATCTTACCGACCTCAAAATGTTTGAACGGTAGTGTATATTTTTTTATTAATACAATAAAAAATTAAAAAGAGAAAAGGACACCAATCAATATACAAACTTACTACTGGTTCAGCCTATTATCATTGAAAAAAAAATCACCTCATCAAAAGTGATCTCCTCATAATCCCAGTTCTCAATGTTGAAGAGCAGCACCACACGGCCATATTTATCTCTGCTGGACAGGATCCCTGGGTAACCGGCCTCGATGGTGCTGCGGACAGCCTCTGGGGTCAAGTTTTCAAAGAGTTCAGGGTAATCCCGCCTGAAGCGCACATATCCTTCAACACAATAAAACCAATAGTAACATCTCAGGGCGAGAAGCATTCCAGTGGCAGCAAATGTCCAAATAAAAACCCTTTGGCAAAACTATTTACCCTTCATGAGTTCATAGGCCCTGTTTACTTCATATTTCCTAGCACGGATGAACCTCACCAGCACACTATCGGGGTTGTCCCCAAAAGTGTCCTGAACACCTTTAGCAAGGTCGTCTCCAGAATCCGCCTTCTCTTTGATAATACCTCTGAGCTCCTTTACAGCTGACACTCGCTTCTCATCTGTCTCATTTAGCTCATCTTTAGCCTACAATGACATCACAAGTTAAAATATTCATTCAAAAATAGAACAATTTGTTCGTAAAGCAACAGCTTTGGTGAGTTTTTGTCTGTCAGAATGTGTAGTGAATCATGCTAACTTGATAGCAGATGCTATTGTCTAACGCTAACTGGATTTTTTTAATTTTCTCAAAATCTTGTGCCAAACTTGCCACTGTGATGCTATATAGTTGCTAGGTTGTTACTAGGGTGTCTGGTTGGTTATTAGGGTGTTTTGTGTAGAAATTTAGCAACAGCAATGCTTAATTTAGCAAAGTTAGCTATAGAACATTTATATTTAGCCATGTGCTGTGTTCAGTCTAATTGTGTATATTTTGTACTTTCTAAAAACTTGCTCACACCTTCTGCACCGTGTGGTCAGGTATTTGGGCGTAAGGTCCGAACACCGGCCCGTGATCTTTGACCGTGAGGTGCTCCAGTTTAGCCCTGAGGGCCTGCTCCTCCTCGGACACCATCCGGAATGTTCCACTCTATTATGGAGAAAGACTTATGAAAACATCCTAATCCTGAGTTTAAGCAAACAATTTAGTTTAGTAGCCCTAATCGATGGAAGCTAGTGTGGGCCAGTGCTAAGCTCACTCACATGAATTGCGTAAAGCCTAGTAAACCCGACCTGAGATTGGGGATAAGCTGCTAATGTTTGTAGCTCTATCCCTAAACACTAAGAACCGCCTTGTTCTTAAAACATTTGTTCACCAAATGAGTGATGGTTTGGAGGAACCTGAGTGAAATCACATGTTGTGTGACATAACAGGGTCTTAAGACTTCACATAAGTGGGCAATACTGTGTTTTGCTAATTTTACACTTGTCAAATTTCTCTTTCATTCTGATAACATATTTTGGTCAGTAAGCAAATGCAACATTGAATGTGGTTTTACAGCTTATAAAAGACAAAAAAAAATTACTTACAACAACAGCCATTGCTTCAGATGCTCAGTGCAACGTTCTGTGGAGAGAGAGATATTGATCACAAGGAAAATGCTTCCTCTCCAACAAAACTTATTTTTATGACAAAGACATAATGGTTTTTAACCATGAGAAATTAAACTAGTTGAGTGACTTGGTAAAACTTGTTATCATTACATACATTTAGTATTTAAGTCATACTCTCATTAGTTTGATGATCCAAAGTTCTCTGTCATTTTAAATTCAAAACAGGTTGTCTAAATATTAATTTAATTAGAAACAATCACTGAAAGCAGGGGTTTTCAAAAATTTTGATTCTCAGGTCCCCAAATGATGATGGTTTCTCATACAAGGCAGATATGTATTTTATAAAATGTTATATGTATAAACACTCAATTGTACTGTTTGACAAAGAAAAATTAAGCATGATATAATAAAGAAAATATGTAGTTTGAAAAATTAAATTAGTGGCTTTGTCACTGTACTGAAGGCAAAACTTATTTTTTTACCCACTATTAGAGTAAAATACTAAAATAATAAGCAAATAAAATAAAGCTAATAAAATATGGGGGGAAAAACAATAAAATATATTTTTTCTTATTTTTAAAGATTATTTCCTTATTTTGTAATCCATATTCTTATTGATAAATATGGCTTCTGACCAGTGTTTAGAAAGCAGAAAATAATTTATCAGAAAACAAGACTTAAGATCTTCATTTTGCATCTCAAATAAATGTATCTTGACTTAAGGATGTTTTGATATTTGTACTGGAATACAACTAAGAAAGATATTCATTTTTGCAATGCATGCAACATTTAATGCCATGACATGAATTGAAGGCTTTCTGTTCCTTTTCAAGGCCTTAATTTCTGAAAAGGTGAATTGAGACTTTTTAAAGGGGTCATATGATGCTTTTTTAAAGATCATTATTTTGTGTATTTGGTGTAACAGAATATGTTGACATGCTTTAATGTTCAAAAAACACATTATTTTTCAAATACTGTACATTATTGTAGGTCCTCCATGCCCCGCCTCTCTCAAACGCGCTCTCTTTAGTTTTCAACAAAGCCCCCTCCTTTGACAAGTGCAGTCTGGATATTGATTTGAAATGTGTGTTTTGTAATTTGAATGATGAAAGTATATGCCATCTTTTTTTTTTATTGTATTTGTACTAAATTATTCTGGTGTGATTTTAAGATCTTCTTTGAAGAGATTTCGGGAATTGACATTACTTTAGAAGATAAAAATGTTTTATTTTATTATGATAAGCCTTTAGAGAAGAAATTATATTTTGTTCTTAATTTGTTTATCATATTAGGGAAATATCACATTCATAAATGTCGATGGTCAAAAATCGCATCATATGACCCCTTTAAGACCTGCAGAAACCCTGGTAATAAAATGACAAAATAATAAAACAAATAAAATACTACTAGTAAATCATAATAAGGCCAATTAAATAACACAAATTAAAATTAAATAGAAATAAAATGTTAACTTTTGTAGTCTTCTAGTAAAATCATTTTTGTGGACCCCCAAGATACCCTTTGTGTCCAATCAGGGAGTTCCCGAAGTCCAATTTGAAAACCCCTGAACTAGAGTAATCTGAGACATTAGGTTATATAATTGAGACATTTCTGGCTATATCACAAGCATTTCAGCAGGGTTGTTATGTGATAAGTCTCCATTGGTCTGAAATTCTGATGTGAAAACTGCATCAACTGTAAAAGTTGAAAGTGAAAAAATGTCCCAGACTACCCCAAGTCACGCTACCTCAGTTCAAACACCAACAAATAATAGATTAGAGAGAATAGAGAATAATACATCATCATCAATATTTTAGAAGATTCCAAAACATGAGCAACTTGCATTCTAAATGATAAAACAAATTCCATGCTCTGTCCTAGGAAACGACACTTACCTGACACAATGCGGTGCTGCTCAAGCCAACAGAACTGAGTGAGGTGCGGAACAGCAGGCTCCAATAATTTGTAGTGTGACCTGTGATGGATTAACAACGTCATATGGGATTATACAGTGCAGATTTTATGTTAATCAGCGAAAAACATTGAGAAAAGGAGCAAAGAGAACATTGACCAATAGCCTGCAGCCAATAGCATCATGACTGTCATATTTTAATCAAGAGGAACCTTCCCTGACCCCAAACACATTGTGTGATTAAAAATAAAGAAATAAATAAATAAAATAGGGAGTGGATGGGAAAGAGTGTGTCAGACATATTAGCAGTTATTAGAGGTTAAATGTGAGGGAGGGTTTGGCAATCCACTGACCAATACGATTTGACTGGATTCCAACACCAGTGAAAACTATGTGCTGCCAACGTGAACGATGTCTGGAAATAGACCTTGAACACAAAGCCCTGTACACATGCCAAAATATATATGTAGGCATTTTCATTAGAATCAGAAAATAATTATATGACATAAAATAATGCATCAATGTAAAACATTTGAGAAAATCTACATATTAATAGCTAATCAGAAATTAAAATTTTTACCATAAATTCTGTATATGTAAATATAGGTAAAAAAAAATTTTTTTAAAGAATGTAAAAATAATTGTATGTATATAATAAAACAGGTAATATTCACAGATGTTGACATTTAGAAATAAAAACATATATTGCATATGGCTTTGTGAAAAAAAAAAAATTCATCTCGCCGTTCTTGCACCATAAAACTTTGAAGAATAGTTTGTTGAAGCTTTTGTTGCATATTTCTAGATTGCATTCTCTGTAAAACTGCTTTTTATGAATATTTTATTGTTAAAAATGTTATACAAATAAATAATGAATTTTGAAATTGAACTGAAAATATTTCCAATAAGGTTTTACATTTAACAATACTTTAAATGTGTCTAGATAAAAATACACTGTCTGCTAAAAATGTTAAAATAATAATTATACAAGCTAATTAGTTCTCATATAATATTTTAATAATATATTTTGAGTTTATTTCAATGATCACATAAATGCACATTTGCAAATGTGTACTTCCGTCTTGTCTTTTATTCATTGTAAGGTATAACTATCTTTATATTTTGGGAAGAGGGTTCCCAGCAAGGTTATAATCATATTTGGGTTTTGACTTGGCATGAAAAGGTTTTGGAAACCCCTGCTGTAGTTTGGGCCATATATACAGTATATATATATCTATCTATCTATATCACAAAGAGCTCAAATCAATACTCAAATTAAATTTTAGTTGTAAGCAGCCAGTGGTTTGCAGCCAGAATTATCGTCATCCACCGTCAAACGTCACTGCAAAGTTTCCCACTGTTACATTGATCGGTAGGGTGGCCATAATCCCGTAAAGCAGGATTTAGCCTTTGAATGTGCGGGTCTGTATTACTAAAGCAGTGATTGCAGCACAATGGTTGTCTCTGTGCTACCAGAGCAGCTCAGTGCTTATTGTACGTCCATTGGGTAAAAGCATAGTTGACAGACAATAAATTTGATGATTCATTATTATGCAGGTATATTGTTTAAACATTTATAGGACAATTTATAAGGCAACCCATTACATCACAATTTCAATCCAGCCTTTGTCACGTGTTGCCAAGTTAGAGCTCACATCACACCATAGTCTTTACACCCCTATTAAACTATTAAAGGGGTCATATGATGTTGCTAAAAAGAACATTATTTGGTGTATTTGGTGTAATGAAATGTGTTTATGCG